ACACCCTAAGTTCTATTGGGCTGGTGGTGAAATATTTCTTTGGCACGTGCTTTTTAGCCAAGCCATGCCTCATTGGCAGGATTGGGAGAGTGTTCTCCTTTAGCTTTGCCTTTCAAAAACACAGTACGAGAGTGTGTTTTGTAACAACACAATCCAATAGCTCTTTGTTGAAGGAAGTATCAATATGCCTCTTTCAATTGTTGAGTCCACAATAGCATGGTTCATTAAGAAGTGGTACATATATGTATTTCTTAACATTTAGTACCATTTTATTGTTTTGTGCAGGGACCTATGTCGGAATTGGGTGGCTACAGAACAATTGAGAGAATTATTTGACACTATTGAAACACTGTATTGTAAGTTCTCCCATTTTTGCATCAAGAGGGCCATGCTTCAGCCATGCTTATACACATTTGAGGCCATCTCACATTCTAGTAAGCAATGGATTGCCTATGAATTGGAGTTCCCTCACTTGTCCTTCCAAATTGCACCAAACAATGAATTCAGTTGTTTCCAATTCACCTTCAATACTAACCTACACACATTGAATTACAAAGTGGTCTATGTGTCTGAGATTGGAGGAGCTTTGGTGTGGGAGGAAGCCACAATAGATGTAGATGGGCCACATGCAAAAGCCATTAAGGAAGCTATTTGCCAAATTCCAAGATTAGTAAGTCTAATTTTCACTTGGCTTACTACAAACGCATGGATTATTTGTGCTTAGGGAATGAACTACGTATTGGCATCCCAAGATGCTAGTGCATTCTAGGATGTTGCAACAAGAAAAGTGGGATGTGGTAAGTTAAGTTTTAAGCACAAGTTTTATATGCTCCTCATTTCTATATGCACAGGCTGTTTTTGTGGGCTGGTTGCTATTCCAAGCATTTAAATGTAATACATAGATATCTCACGAGTGTACAATTGCAACATTGGCAATTGCAGCTAGAGAGGTTCTAGATGAGAATGACTGATGACTTGCCTAAGGAGGACTATATGAGATGGACCTCAAGGCATGCGTGCTGCATATCTAGAATGCACTCAACCAATTGCAAGGTGCATCAAACCTAAAGAAGTCATTAACTACCTGATCTTTGATCAGGACTTTGGAGAGAACTTCCGTAGCTAGATTGTGGACATCATTCAAGGTAATTATTTACTTTCACAAAAAATTAAAACTCTTGTATGTTTGAACATTTTATAGATGTGAGCCTGAAAGAGTTATCCAAGTTCCACCACTTTGTAGTTGATTCTCCAGAGTTCTGACTGAGAGAGCCTATTTGGATCCAAGTTGAGAGACAAGGTACATCATCTACTCGATTTCCTAGGCTCTCCACATGCACACGAGAAGTTTTCTTCCTTTTAACATACCCATCAATGGAATGGACCAAACACAAGATCCACCAGACACTCCAAAATCCAAAGGGCTTATATGGATTGGGCTAATGTTGTGGAAGTACCATATCCACAATAAAATAGATAATTGTCTTGAAATATGTTTCACACTTTGAAAGAGACTCTTTCCAGTTCATTGGTGAAATTAAAGGTAAGAATATTCAAAATATTCCATAAATGCACTTGCAACCCTTAGTACCCTTTTGGCTTATACTTGCCTCACCAAGGGTAACTTCCAAAACAACTCCCAATTTAGGATTTGGGTCAAAACTATCAAGCTTGGGTGCTATATGATGCCTATCCTCAGTTAAGGAACTCTTAACTTATTTTATAATAGAACCAAAATCACCCTTTGAGTTTGTGAACTCGTCCTTGCTTGCATCTTAAGCAATAACATATCTCTCATTGTTGATTTCTTCAATAGGACCTTTCCCCTCGGTGATTGGCACAACATTAGAAGTAGTTTTGGGCTGCCTTGTCAGAAGGATTGTCGAGCCTTGAGAAGAGGAGGCATCATATAGAATCCTTAGTCCTATCCCCTGTTGGATCCATTGTTGTGCCTCAAAGAAGTTAGAATCCTCTTCAATTTGCCATGCTAGGAGGAAACCTAGAAACCTCAAACATTGCAAAAGGGTTGGAGCATATAGGAAACTGTCACAAATTTACTCTTATCAAAGTGAGCATGAGCTTCCAATCCCTGAAAACTCTAGTTTTTCAGCCGTAGCACAACATACATTGGATAGTTTTGCCCCATGCTTGAAAACCCTTTTTACAAATTTTAAAATTTGAAACGGTTATAATTGGAAAATGTTGAAAGTGTCAATTATTATTGCTCTTCTCACCTGAATGTTACTGCATGTAATTGCAACTTCCATATTCTCAAATCTCTTTTAACAAGCTCCTCTTGAGAAAACTCTAGGTTCAATTTGAAACAATTATAATTGGAAAATGTTGAAAGTGTCTATTGTTATCCTGAATGTTACTACATACAATTGTAACTTCCACATTCTCAAATCTCCTTCAGCATGCTCCTCTTGAGAAAACTCCAAGTCCAAACATCAACACTATGCACCTTTGTGTAGTATATAATTGAAGTATGAGCCCCACCAATTCATCAAATTAGTTAGACTTCAACTTACTTTTGAATCATATGCAAATTTTCTAAGCATCATGGTACAAAACTAAAGTGTTAAGAGAGCTACACTAGAAATTAATGGCAACGAAAGATAAACTCAATGGGATGCATTAGAGATATGACTCCAGACAATATATATCTATGGCTTTGCAATGGAGCTTGATAGAGTTCACTTACACTTGCTATAAACACTATGTTAAAAGAGGTGTGCCAAAAAAGGATAATTCAATTCTTTTGCCATGAGCGCCAAGAGCAAGATGTGAGAACATAACGCTCTAGATAAGGTAATATAGTATGCAATTTGGTCGATTGTCCATTTGGTTTGCAACATTAACAACTTATACATGGGATGAATGGATCTATGGGCCAAAAAACACAGATATAGAATATTTTACGAATATCCAATCCTTATGCGGGGCATCATGCCCATAGCAATGACCTATGCTATGTACTCATAATACACGTGGACCAATAGCAAGCATACATGTGGTGTGAGTGAAATCCACCATTGTAAAATCCACCCTTTAACAAATTGCACACCATAAACGCACCCCTCTCTAATCAAACTGCATCAATGGCATCCCTATGAGCTTTTGCTGCTCTCTCCGTGCTCCTTGTTGAAATGGTGGCAGTGTCATGGTGGAAGCTCAGGGGTCGTGTGCAAACAGGCCCTGTTGTGGTGGCAGAGGTGTCTGCAACTCCGGCCTGCGCTGCAACCAGTTTGGCTTCTGTGCAGTGTCAAACGATTACTGTAGCGTGGGCTGCCGGTACAGTAGCTGCTTCTGAATTGCAGTGCAACTGTAAAAGGACACCCCTTGCAACATGAAAGTTGCAAATAATAGCTCTCTTCTATAATTCATGTAGCGTGACCAAAAGTTTGTTTTCCAGGTTGTCATGAAGTAGAATCCTTTCCTCGTGTTACTGTCATATTAGCACAGATTAAGTGTTAAGTGGTGATTCTAATTAAGTTTTCAACAAGTTGCTTCCTCCAGGAGATCGACTGGCCTTGGATTTGTTATAGCTGATTTTAAGCCGGAGGAGATTGAGGAAGCGGACTGGAAGGATGCATGGAAGCGTGTCTTATGAAGTTCCTATCAATAACCCTTGTGATCCATTATAATTGATCACACCACTTAGATCCTTCAAAATTTCTTCATATCTTGTACTAGAGCACACTTTTATGAAATCTTGCGCCTCGAGTCAATCTGCTCGTAGAAAGTGTACAAACTCACAAGATCGAAAGCTACTACCTTGGATTTGTTGTAGCCGATATTAAGGAGATACTTGCTGTGCTTGGCCTCACTCCACTCCTCCTTGGCTAGCTGCTGGAAATTGCATCTCTCCAAAACCTGTGAGCGAGAATCTCAATCAATCATATAACAAACTCACCACTAGATCCTTCAAAGTTTCTTCATTTGTATTGTTCATCACCAAGCACACCTCTATGCAATCTCGCCGCTCCTAGACTCGATCTGTTTGGGGAGATCATGTCACATGAAACTGCAACCGATTGCGGATGGTATTCGAGAATTCGAGAGAGATTCCTGTCACGTTTAGCAAGAGTTATTTACGTACAATCTAAGAACTGACAAAGGACTTAATGGCAGATTTTGGAGCGAGTTCTCTCTTGCAACATCTCCAGCGTCTCCTGCGCGCTGCTCGGGCAGTGGATCATCCCATTCGCACGCCACGCGATCTGGAGCTCCTCCAACTTCCGGACCGCGTCCTCGATCTCGAAATCGCAGGGCAGATCCACCTCGCTAATGAGTACTGCCTCGCATTGTCTCTTGAGCTCCTACGTACGGTAAATCCAAAGATCACGCTCGCCCAAAACGTGTTCTTGGAGCTCCTTACCTCGGGTTTAGAGGCTGCATTGTGCTTGAGCAATCCAAAGAAGGCCACGACTGCCTCGTTCACCTGGAAAGTTATGGATTTCTATGTAAGAACTCATGTTCTAAGCAATAGAATCTTATAGAAACACCATACCTCTTGCTGAAGAACACTGTCACACAGGCAAAGCAGTGTCGCTGGGCCAGTATCACGTTGTTTCTCATAGATCTCCTTGGAGATCAGCTTCCCATACTCAAGAACGTTGTTCTGGAAACTAGAAAACCAAGAAAACATCGTCAACTTTGCGATGAACTTTAGACTATACTTACGTGTAGTAAACCTTGAAGGAATAGCTAAGAATCACAGCAAGGATTGAGAGGCCAAGCTTGACGCTGGATCGACCAAATGCTTCCCAGAGACCAACCTAGATCTCATTGTTTTGATGTAAAGTATTTGGGCAATCTTTGCTTACACTGGCAGCCACCGCAGAGATTGCAAGCTTAAACCACTCGATTTTTCCCAAGTGAGGTGTGGTTTTTTCGGGCTGGCAAAGAAAGATTTTGTCAATGCAGATGATCATATAACTTGAAATTTCTTGGAGCTCTTGTGATTTCTTACCACAACTATTTCCAAGTCGGCCATTGGGATATCTTTGAAGTGTCTAACGTGAATGCCATATGTGTACTCTTGCTTTCTCAATCTAAAATATTTTTGAATCTAAATATAAATGTTTCATAAATTTTTACCTGTACACAACCACAACTTGGCTAAATGTTGGTTCTTGTAGCTGCACTTTCTGGAAGAAATTCCTTATCCTGTTTATAATCCATTATTAGCTTAAGACAAAGCTAGAGAGCGTAGGAATTGAAGACCCACTTAATATCCTCAATGTGGATTCTCTCAACGTACTGTATTTTGTATTCTCCTTCTTCAATGTCCCCTGGCGCCAATTCCATTGGCGAGCTTTTGCTCCATTTCGATGTCCAACTGATTCACCAATGTATCATAAGTTTAATTGGAACTTAAAATATCTTACAATGATTCCAGTAGAGTTCTCCACAAGCTCCACCATAACACGCTAAGCTTTGGCATAAAATAGAATCCTTTCGAGGTGTCGATCCCAACACCCCGGTGGTAAATCAAAAACTGCGATATTATTAGCATCGATGAAGTAGTGGTTAATAGTGACAAACTTACTAAGTTCTCAAACACGTTGTTTCCCCCAGGAGCATTTTGTAGCAACTGGTTGTCTAGCTTTGATAGTTTGATAGAAATAATTGATCAAACTAGAAAGAAAAAAACTCACAAGATCACATTTTTAGTACCTTGGATTTGTTGTAACCGATTTTAAACCGGAGGAGATACTTGCTGTGCTTGGCCTCACTCCACTCCTTCTCGGTTAGCTGCTGGAAATTGCATCTCTCCAAAACCTGTCCATAAAATCGATTAAAAACCCAATCGATTTGGTAGTTGGTGTGTGCATAGATCTTGATCATACGCTGTGGAAGCTCTCGAGGAACTTCTTCTCTAAATCCCTCACACCAGGCTCCGAGTCCTTGAGCTTGTTGGTTGCGTCCGTGGGATGGAAGCGTGTCTTGTGAAGTTCCTATCATGGTAACTCAGACCAATTCATGATAATGGATCGCAAGCTCACCAAAAGATCCCTTGAAGTTTTTTCATTCATCTTGGTGATGTCGTCTCTCATCACGGAGCACACATCTATGAAAAATTGTGGCTCCTCGAGTCGATCTGTTCGTGGAGATCATGATCATGTCACACAAACTATAGCAAAACCGACTGATACCAGCTAGTTTTTGCACCAAAGTGGTGGTGTCGATCATAATCGCTGGTCCTCGCCGGACTCGCACCAATCTAGAAGACATTACACAAGATAGAAATCGTGAGTTCTCAAGTAAGTACAACCAGATCTATACTACAAGGATCGGAGCTTTCGCTACTACAAGCAAAACTTTTCAGTAGATTAATTCCTACTTAATCTCAAAGCTAGCTGAATATTCCAGTGCTAGTATTAGATTAGAAGTAAAGATTCCAGTCGATTCTCCCACAAACCGCGCTAAAACTGACGGCTCAGATCCGCCAAGTTAAACAAAGATTCCCGCGCTAAATCCGACGGCTCAGATCCATAGAGCCTTTAACGCCCGCTAAAACCGAGGGCTCAGATGGGCCAGATCGATGGCCATCTATCCAACGGCTGGGCGCTGCTTTTTCTAGAATGTTCCTAAGAACCAAGCCGGCCGTTTAAAAGTTCTTGTGTAGGGCTAGGGAAGAAGAGAGAGAGAGCTTTAGCTATGGCAAAGGAAGGTCCGGCTGTCGGCATTGATCTGGGAACGACGTATTCTTGCGTCGGTGTGTGGCAGCATGATCGAGTGGAGATCATCGCGAATGATCAGGGTAACAGGACGACGCCATCGTATGTGGCCTTCACCGACACGGAGCGGCTCATCGGCGATGCCGCGAAGAACCAGGTCGCCATGAATCCCATCAACACTGTCTTCGGTGAGTTCCTAGTAGATCTAGCTCTCGAAAATCGCGGCTCTAGGATCTAGTTTCATGTTTCCTTCGAAATCTTAGATCTAGGATCTAGCTTGCATCTAACTTGCCCGAGATAGCTGAAAGTTGAGCTTTTTCTTCCAGATGCCAAGCGTTTGATCGGGCGGCGATTCTCGGACTCTTCAGTCCAGAGCGACATCAAGCTATGGCCTTTCAAGGTTACTCCTGGCGCTGCCGAGAAGCCGATGATCACTGTCCACTACAAGGGCGAGGAGAAGACGTTCGCGGCCGAGGAGATCTCTTCCATGGTGCTGACCAAGATGAAGGAGATTGCCGAGGCCTTTTTGGGCGCCACTGTGAAGAACGCGGTCATCACGGTGCCCGCCTACTTCAATGACTCGCAGAGGCAGGCTACCAAGGACGCTGGTGTCATCTCGGGCATGAACATCATGCGGATCATCAACGAGCCCACCGCCGCGGCCATCGCTTATGGTCTAGACAAGAAGGCGACGAGCGCCGGTGAGAAGAACGTCCTCATCTTCGATCTGGGTGGTGGAACGTTCGACGTGTCGCTGCTAACGATCGAGGAGGGGATCTTCGAGGTGAAGGCCACGGCCGGAGATACTCACTTGGGTGGCGAGGACTTCGACAACCGGATGGTGAACCACTTCGTCCAGGAGTTCAAGCGCAAGTATAAGAAAGATATCAGCGGCAATCCCCGGGCACTGAGGAGGCTGAGGACTGCTTGCGAGCGCGCGAAGAGGACGCTCTCGTCCACTGCCCAGACGACGATCGAGATCGACTCTCTCTTCGACGGCATCGACTTCAACACCACCATCACCCGGGCCAGGTTCGAGGAGCTCAACATGGATTTGTTCCGCAAGTGCATGGAGCCAGTGGAGAAATGCCTGAGGGACGCGAAGATGGACAAGAGCAGTATCCACGACGTTGTGCTCGTTGGCGGCTCCACCCGGATCCCGAAAGTCCAGCAGCTTCTCCAGGACTTTTTCAACGGCAAGGAGCTGTGCAAGAGCATCAACCCCGACGAGGCAGTGGCGTATGGAGCGGCCGTCCAGGCGGCGATCCTCAGCGGCGAGGGCAACGAGAAGGTCCAAGACCTCCTTTTGCTGGACGTGACGCCGCTCTCGCTGGGGCTGGAGACCGCCGGAGGAGTGATGACGGTGCTCATCCCGCGGAACACCACCATCCCGACGAAGAAGGAACAGGTGTTCTCGACGTACTCGGACAACCAGCCTGGAGTGTTGATCCAGGTGTACGAGGGCGAGCGGACGAGGACCCGGGACAACAATCTCCTTGGCAAGTTCGAGCTCTCCGGGATCCCTCCGGCTCCCAGGGGTGTCCCGCAGATCACGGTGTGCTTCGACATCGACGCAAACGGCATTCTCAACGTCTCGGCCGAGGACAAGACGACTGGGCAGAAGAACAAGATCACCATCACCAACGACAAGGGCCGGCTGAGCAAGGACGAGATCGAGAAGATGGTGTCCGAGGCCGAGAAGTATAAGTCCGAGGACGAGGAGCACAAGAAGAAAGTGGAGGCGAAGAACGCGCTGGAGAACTACGCCTACAACATGAGGAACACGATCAAGGATGACAAGATCGCCGGGAAGTTGGAGGCTGATGACAAGAAGAAGATCGAGGAGGCGGTGGAGCAGGCGATCCAGTGGCTGGATCAGAACCAGCTGGGCGAGGCGGATGAGTTTGAGGACAAGATGAAGGAGCTGGAGAGTATCTGCAACCCGATCATTGCGCGGATGTACCAGGGCGCTGGCGGAGCTCCGGGTGATATGCCCATGCCGGGCGCTGGAGCGTATCCGGGCGGAGGTGGCGGTGGCGGCGCTGGGGCTGGTGGCGCTGGGCCCAAGATTGAGGAGGTTGATTAAAGCCACACGAGGTTTTTTTTTTTTCTCTTGTTGTGGCAAACTTTGATTGGATCGATTCTATAATGCTATGATGGCAATCCATTTTTCTTTCCATGGGAGGTGGTCGCTCATTGGCTGCTCGAGCAAGTGTTTCACAGATAAAACAACGTCGTGTTGGACGCAGGGCATGGTAGGGTGGCTGCTCTCTCGCTTGCACCAGAGATATCTTCGCTGCAAATGTGGGAGGATTGAACGATGCATAGCTGGTCTTAAACTTGATTGGTCCACCTGCCATACGATGATGCTGGTATAACGAGCACAGCAGCAACTGGACCTCTTGGAGGAGATGTTGGCACTGGCTCACCATTGTTGCTGCTGTCAGGATTCACAATTCCAACATCCAAGTGGGAATGCCAAAGAGATCATTGAAATCCATGGAGCAAACAACGCTTTGGAACGAAGCGAAGAATTTAAAGCCACACACCACACATGCATCGATTGGAATAAAGTAAACATTATAAATTGAAATTTTTAAAAACCGTTTTAGCAAATTGATTTTTGTTGTTATTATCTTTTCCATACAATTCACAAAAAATCTTAGAATTCACAATAAATGAAATTTAAATGAAATGTTGGTGGATTTGTGAGTGCATGGAATATAGAAAGGGAATACAGAAATGTGCATATCAATTAACCCAAAAACCCTAGCTTATATACAGGAGCGAGTGGTCCAGATTGAAACCAATCCGACGGCTACCAAAATCCACTACGCTAATATTAGTATACGGCATCGTAGCCGTACACTTGGCCCTCACATCATCCCCTCCTCTCGGAATAATGGAAGGCCGTCAGGGTTCTCTTGTAGATGGGCCGGGATCTGGAGGAACGTCAGGAGGAGGCATCGGTGGATCTGTAGACGGTATTAATTGCTCCTGATCCCTCTGTATGAAGCGTTTTAACCGCTGCACATGCACAATCTCCGGAGGATTAGCCTGCTGAACGTCATGCCGAACCTCATAAACTTGTGGTCCAACTTGCCGCAACACCCGATACGGTCCTTTCCACTGCACAAGGAGCCCCTTAGATAAACCACGTACCGTAAGATGGGGAAAACGGACTAACACCAAATCATCCACTTTGTACTCCGCTGGTGGACGATGATGGGAATTGTAGCGCCGTTGTTGTCCCACTTGTACGCGGCCTAAGTGTTCAGCAGACTCTGCTCGGACAAGTGGAAGAATGCTTGTCAAATATTGATCCCATGACCTAGCATCAGGAGCTCGTGGCAATTGCGAAGGTAAACCTAGCTCTGTTGGTAATATTGGATCATGACTATATAGAAGTTTATATGGTGAAGCACCAACAGAACTCTGCACCCCTATGACACCGAAGAGACGGCAAATAACCATCCCAATCCGAATGTTGAAAGTTCACATACTTCGCAATCATCCCTTTGAATGTTCGAACGAGCCGTTCCACCAGATCGTCTGATTGTGGATGATAAGCACTCGTAAAAGTGTGGCGTATCCCCAACCGAGATGTCAAAACATGAAATACCTCAGCCATAAATGCAGGACCATTATCCGAAAGAATCCGTTCTGGACAAGAATGCTGGAACACCACTCGATTGAGGAGGAAGTATCCAACAGCAGTTGCAGAGGCACTAGCAAGAGCACCAACTTCCACCCAACGAGTCAAGTAGTCAGAAGCAATAATAACATACTCATTGCCAGTAGTCGATCGCAGAAAAGGTCCTATAAGATCAAATGCCACCAACTCAAACGGACGAGAAACTGCAATTGACTCCAACCGTCCTTCCGCAGCACAAGGGAGAGTATTACGAGCTTGGCACCAAACGCAGCTACGCACATACCGGATAATATCACGTTGCATCTCTGGCCAATAGAAAGATCTGCGCAACTTCTCGGTGACACGACGGTGTCCCATATGCCCACCTAGAATAGGAGAATCATGGTAGGCATGGAGAAACCGCGGAATAAACACCGAAGGCACCACCAGCCGTAAATGAGCATCAGGATCCGTCCCCACAAAATAAAGAAGGCCATCTTCAAGGCGATATTGAGAATGTAAATGCCAAAAAGGCAAGTCATCAGCAAGTGATGCAGGATTCTCAAACCCATCTCGAAGCCTTCGAATCCACGGCTCAATCTTTTGAGCCTCGCGAACCTCATCCAGAGAAGGTAGATCTTGCTCTACACCCTGTGGACACTGAACGTCAAGGACAGCAACCGCCGACGGCACAGAATCCTCATCTAGAAAATCCACAGATGCTGGAACAACAGGTTTGTCAGAAACATGAGAAGTGAGTGGAGAAGGAAGAGGAGCTCGAGAAAGGGCATTAGCATCAGCCATAGAACTCCCTGGGCGATGAACAACATCGAAATCATATATCTGAAGCTTCAAAGCCCATCGAGCCGTACGACCAACCAGGTTCTTCCGCTTCAATAATGAAGTAACAGCAGCATGGTCACCTTCAAGTAACGTCCGAGAACCATGTAGATAGGCATGAAGTTTCTCGAAACCCCAGACTGCTGCTAAACACTCCTTCTCCGTCGTGGAGTAGTTCATCTCCGCTGGTTGTAATGTACGGCTTATGTATGCAATGGGATGGCGCTGACCAGGCACACTCGAGCTCTCTTGCATCAACACACCTCCAAGACCAATGTCAGAAGCATCCACGCGCAAAATAAAAGGTCGAGTGTAGTCAGGATATGCCAAAACCGGAGGAGTCGTCAATAGCTCTTTGAGATTCACGAACGCCCGCTCACAATCGGGAGACCAGATGACAGATGACGTTGATGACTTCAGCAACGCTCGCAATGGTAAAGTGCGATCGGAAAGATGATCCACAAAACGACCGAGATACTGCACCTTACCCAAAAAGCGCTGCACATCATTCACACACTTCGGAGTAGGGAACTTTAGAACAGCCACAAGTTTGTCAGGATCAACTTGCAAACCCTCACGAGAAATACGGTACTCAAGATAAGTTGTGTCCTTGGACCCAAACACGCACTTCGACCACTTCAGCTTTAAACCAACGTCGCGTAGCCGATCCAACACTTTACAAACATCAAGAACATGCTCCTCCCACGTCCCCTCCGAGTGGATCAAGACATCATCAATGAAGTCAGCCGTCACCTCCGGCATATCGCAAAGAACCTCGTCCATCATTCGCTGAAAAGTTGCTGGAGCATTGTTCAAACCAAACGGCATCACCAAAAACTCGTACAAACCAAATGGTGTACGAAAAGCAGTCTTAGGAATATCGTCTTCAGCCATCGGTACTTGCCAATACCCAGAAGCAAGATCTAGCTTGGTGAACCAACAACTTCGCCCCAGACGATCCAAGAGATCAGCAGTGTGAGGAAGAGGGTACACGTCCGGGATCATCACTTCATTTAACGGACGATAGTCGATGCAGAAACGAATACTCCCATCAGGCTTCGTCACAAGATGAGGTTCACATGCCCAAGGACTCCGCGACTTCCGAATAACACCCTTCTCCAACATCTCCTTGACGTTTGCACGTAAAATCTTGATCTCCTTGGGTGACCGACGACGAACAGGAACCTTGATTGGACGAGCATCCCCGGTTGGAATGGGATGACGTGTGGCAATCTTGGCCCCAGACGATAGGTCAAATTCAAAGAGATCAGAATACTCCTTCATGAGTTGGTCAACAGCTGCAACACAAAGATCATCGGAGGGATCGGAAAAGGGAAGAGCAGAACAAGATGGAAACACAAGAGGAAATAATGGGGGAACAAAAGTAATGGAAGCAGAGGTAGAAGTAGAGGGACGAAGAGGTACAGAAGTGAGAGGAATGGATGAAACATAAGGAAGTATGAGACAAGGGGGAAAAGCCTCAAAGTCACACTTGGCATGATTGTGCTGCAACCAATCCATACCAAGAATGAGGTCAAAAGCTTGACTCGGCACCACCCGCAACGACTGCAACTCAAGCTCGAGATCGCCCACACGCACAACCAGGTCCGCCTCATCTCGTGCACATGCATGTGTACGGCCGTTGCCATAAAGAATGAAAACTGGATCCGCCGCACGACGCAAGTGTAGACGACAATGTGTGGCAACAGGTCGAGCAATAGAAGATAAACTCGAACCTGTATCAACCAACACGGAGAGAAGAATATGAGACCTCTTGTTATAAAAACGAGCTTGGAAAGTAAACACTGGATGAACCGGTGCCGAGTGAACCCCTTGATGATACTCCCGAAAGAAAGATGGAGGGGTCACTAACTTATTCGCGCAAGGTCCCTCCATTACTCGCGCGACTCCTCGTTTCCCGAATGCACCTTGGTATCCAAACCTTCCACCGCAGCAGCACCAACGGGACGTTGCTGACGCCAAGGTCTCCACCCAGGAAATGGAGGTCGCCAATCCGGAAAGCGCCGACAACGCCGATAAGTATGACCAACTTCATCACACGCCCAGCAACGAATGTCACGGCCACGACCACGTCCTTGCCCTTGTCCTTGGACTCGAGTAGCAGCAGCATCAACCTCCATGGGAACAGGACTATCACTCATAGGAAGTGGAGCTGAAGGACGTGTAGCAAGAAGTGGAAGAGGCGACGTCTCATAACGTTGTGCCAAGCGAAGAGCATCGTCAAGAGTGGCAGGAGCAAGTGCATGCACAAGTCCGACAAGATCTTGACGAAGTGCTGGCCACAGCATTCCTAGCTTGATCCGCTCCGACATATTTGGCTCCGCACGAAGCAAAAGACTTCGGAAACAAACGCCAAATTGCATCACCGACTCAGATGGCCCTTGGCGAAGACGATGCAATTGTTGGAAGGCATCATCACAATTGTCGGCGTGTCCGAAGGCGCGTTTGAAGACGCCCGGAAGAACACTCCAATCGCCACGAGTAGCTGCGCTCAATCCATTGTACCACTGCAATGCCGTCCCTTGAAGACATGTGGGGAACTCACGCAAACGTCGAGCATCATCCCAAGAATGATATGTGGCAATCACCGTGAAGTGATCGAACCAATGGTACACATCATCCCCAGGATTCCCACGAAAGAACTCCGGCCGAACGAGAGGATTGGCACCAAAAGCAGGAGGAGTTGTACCATGTGCCGTGAACGCCGCCATCAACTGAGTTTGGTTGTTCAATTGCAGGCACATAGCATCAAGCAATTGAACCAACTGCTGCTCTAGAGTCAAAGGAGGAGATTGCGGATCGGCCATGAAAATGAATGAGAAAGAAAGAGCAAAAGAAGAGAAATGACAAAAAGCTGGAAAGAAATGGTAGATCTAGACAATGCAAAAAGCTAGATATAAACCAAAATCCTGAAAGGAAAGAACAAAAGAAAGGAAATGGAAAAAGCTAGATCTAGACAATGCAAAAGCTAGATCTAAACCGAAATCCCAAATCCAAGCACTCCCCAGGGACAATCAAAGTTGCCCCTCACCTCCACCAATGTGAGTGCATGGAATATGGAAAGGGAATACAAAAATGTGCATATCAATTAACCCAAAAACCCTAGCTTATATACAGGAGCGAGTGGTCCGGATTGAAACCAATCCGACGGCTACCAAAATCCACTACGCTAATATTAGTATACGGCATCGTAGCCGTACACTTGGCCCTCACAGATTGAAATTTTTTTAAAAAATTAAAACTTAAATTTTAAGGCCTTAGGCCATTGAACAAAAGAATAAACTTAAACTTTTAAATATAAAACCTCTCGCAGTAGAGCGGCAGTGATTTCTCGGAAGGGAGCTCCAGCTGCTACTTCTTGACGATCTTCTTTTGCGACTGTGAGCACCAGCTAAAGGAGGTGAACGTCATGAGAACGATCTGCTCATCAGTGAAGGACATAGGAGTGGATGAGAGGAACTTATGGCGGTGACTTTGAAGCTCCTGGATCACTGTTGAGGGGACACTTGCAGGAGATGGTCACGTCTTTGACACACCGGTTTGATTCGCTTCTCGAAAGGACCCCGCCGAGCGCTGTGTCCGGTGAAACTTGAAATGGCCGCCAGCCTCGTAAAACAGCAGCTTGACGTCGAGCTCCAGAGCAGTGGAATCCAGCCCGAGTCCAGCAGTCGCGAGCGACGGACGAGAATAAGTTTGGCACCTCTGGGCCGGGATTGATCTGCCAACCTCATCCGTGACTCTCTCCAAGGCCGTGTGGAGCTCGGACAGATCGCCATTGGAAACACACTACAAACTTTCTAGGGTTTATCAGCAATTCAACGGTCAGATTTTAGTATATTCTAACGCACTAAATTCTTAGAATATTCTTATTTAAAGAATATACTTTAGTGCAGATTGCTATCAGTAGTATCCTTCTTCCAGATTGATTCAATGCGGCCTTATTGAATGAAGTTTATACTTACATGTGGCGCACCGAGACTACCAGATAGAATGCCAATGCGTCATTCCCACTCCCCCCAATCCTGAGATATAGAAAACACACACAAAAAAAAACTAGAGCTTTGACGATGGCAAAAGCTAAAACGATGTGTACCTCGTCTGTAGTTTCTCCAGTCTTGCGTTTCGCAGCATCCTGAGGATGATCCTCGTTCTTTGCGTCCTTCTTCTCACTGCGAAGTAACGAAAGGTTTTGCCAGATTCGATCGATACACGCGAATGGAGGGTCGTCCTTTACCTGTGAAGTGAGGATTGTGGAGTATCAGAGGCCAAAGTTTCCCTGTCTTCTTGAACGACAAGCCACTCGCTGCTTGTGCTGTTGTCACTCCTGACTTCATCCTCTGTGACGCTCTCTGCAAATGCGAAATCAACGGGAGTAAAAGGCGGAGATGTTGCTTGCACCTCTTGGAAGCGCTGGAGTGTTGGGACTGAGGTCATCCTCTGGAACACGCTGGCTCTGATCATTTTCTTCGTCAACTTCCCAGCTCAGATCTTCCTCCACGGCATTTGCTCCTGCGCAACGAGTGAGTATCATATGAAAAACTCCTACGCTTACTCTTAACAAGGTCTGCTCTAGCATCCTCCGCTTGCTGTAGCTTATTCACGCGATAGAAATAACGGGTCCAGAATGTCTCGTGGTCGACGCTCGTCGGAACTGGCAGAAAGCATCGTCAGGTCGTGTGTCAAAGGCATAGCAAGCCCACCTATTCTCGCATGAATCTCTTGAATAAAAGGATTCTCTTCCATTAGAAGTTCTACTTCACCTTTCCTGCCATTAAGACTCAGTCGATCCGTCGCTCAATTGCTTAAGAAAAACTCACCTGTTATCGAGATCGAAGGTTGATTTCCAAACGGCATAGTCCTCTCGATCCTCTGGTTCCTCGCAGTACGTGCTGTTGTCACACTGCAGTGCATGAAGCTGGAAGGAAGAAAAGCGTCAGAATTGGAATCTTACGGAAAAAGCAACTTACTTGAGCCTCGTATCTTCTGTACATCCCCTTCCTTGAAAAAAAGACAGTGATTGTTTAACATACGAAACAGCGAAACGTACCCGCTGGAAAGAGGGGTGGAGCTAGCCTCTGAATTTTCAGTAACATCCTCGTCCACTTTTTTCACAGCTTCCTTCACTTGGCCGATAAGGTCCGCTGTTCTGCCAGGAAATAGTGTCAGGGCAATCTTAGAAACAAGCAGCGCTTACCCTCGCCAAACCGAGCTTCCAAAATCTTCTAGTTTCTGGCCAACAGCTTCAAGTGATTCCTGAGCAGCCAAGCTCCATCAAAAATCGTTTTGGTAGAAAGCTTTTCGATTTTACCTGAGCAACAGCAGCAGTGCTTTCCAAGGAAATTGGGAGATCCTTCACGGCATGAGCTGTGACCTCCGCAGCAACAGTTGTCTCGCGCTTTAATCCGATGCCAAACTCTTGCAAGTCACGCTGATACGCTTGCAAGACTTCCTCCGACTGAAAGACAAAGACAAAGGAACAAGGAAAAGCTTTTAAGTTCACGCGAAACTTGCGAGAGCCTTACCTTGGACGTCAAAGACTTCACCAAGCTTCCAAAGCTCCAAGCGCTGCAGAGAATGGAACGACACAGCCATTAAGCTGGATAAAATCGCTGGATCGCGGCTCAAATTTACCTCGACTGCCACGAGTTAGTTCCTCCCTCCGATTGCTCCTGAGAAGAACGAGAAAACGAGGATCAAGCAGCTGGAAATCCCAAATGTAGACTGATTTGGCACGCGCCAGGTCGGATTTCTCCGGCAATTCGCATGCATGGGAGGCAGAATCGCGCGAGGCTACTCACCATTGTGGCGGGCGATGGATGGATCGCGCTCGAGCATGTCCCGCCCTCACAGGCGCTGCCCTAAAACCCCAACTTTGATAGAAGGACGCGCCGTGCACACTTCGATGGGCCAGAGGTCACAATCTTCCGTACAATAAATAGTTCCTCTAGGGCAAGTTTGTGGAGGCGAGGCAATCGATCGACCTAGGTATGAGAATGCAGCGCCAGATCTCGAGATAGATCGCGATCGCCGCATTGTAGAAGGATCAAGCAAGTCTTAGTTCTTTAGAGAGAATTCCAGGGGATTTCAACCATTTCTCGATCGTGCCGGCGACAGGAACTTTAGCTTTGAAGGATAGTGGCCTTCTGGGACGATCGAGAAGGAAGGAGGGAAAAAGGAAGCTTTGGACGGATCGATCTGGAAGAAAAGGAGAAGAATTAGAGTCTTCTTTGGAAGATAACTTTTTGCTTGAACGCGGTGCTTTGGGACGCGACAACGATATTGCTTTGCTGCCGCTCGCTTTTCCAAGGCCCTGCGTTTTTTGACACGGTGGTCCTCGTCCACGCAGCTCCACGTCAAAGGTAATCGCTGGTCAGCTTTTTCGCCGTGGAAACTTGAGAACTTGCAGCTCGAGGTAGAGTTTATCTTGTTCGTGCTCACTGAGTTCGCCGTCCACACAGGAAGTATCAAGTTAAAATACGAGAAAGGAGGATTTTTGGCTCGATGGCAATGCGAGGAGCAGCTGGTTCTTCGTTTTTCCAGAGCAGTAGCATAAGATTAGTCCAGCAGCAGCAGCGGCAGTGTCACAGGGATAGAAGCAGCGGCAAAGTTCTGCCTGTTAGAAGAGCAGCGACGATTAGAAGCAGTGGCAGCAGCGCGGAGAGCGTCCAAGCAAGAGATTTTGTGGCTTTGCCAAGACCGAATTTGGAGGAGAGGCCTCCGAGGCTTTGCACTCTCAGAGCTTTCAGCCAAGATGGGGGCGACTCGGTGGCTATGGGGAGTGCGTGGGACTCGGCGACTATCACCTCTTCCTCAGCTTTTCTCAAGCAACTGGCGGCGAGTGTCCAAGCCACAGCTCAAGCGCAGGACTTTGAAACGCTCTCGGGTCGCTTTGCAATGGTGAGATCTTTGATCTGTTCTCTTGTTTTTTGATTTCCCATTCATTCGCGGTGTTTGTTTTGATACAGGTTGCTTTCGCTGTGGCTTTAGGACTAGAGTTTGTGACAGGCAACAACGTGTTCAAGGGAATAGAAGTGAAAGAACTGGGTGAGACTTTAGGCTTCTCTGCAGCGTGTGTCATTTCCATGGCGGCTTTCAGTGCTGCTTGGGGGGCAAAGAAGCGAATCGGGCTCTACATGACAAAAGGCTGCCAAGATCTTGTCGAGTTCATCCTCACCGACACAATCGACGCCATTTTCTACGACCAAGACGATGACCCCATGAAGTTGTGAGTTAAAAATCTTACATTTAAAAAGCAAGCTAGCAGACACAACGGTCCTTTGACGCTTCCATCGAGTGACTAAAGCTTGGGCTTGGCGAGACTCTTCCCTCTAAATCCTGTGTGAGGGGATTTGAGCGCTTGCTCCTGGGCTTGCAACTTCCAAGATCATCACTAAGCACCTCCTTGCACATGGACTGTATCACAGTGCTTCCTTCGAAAGCTTTGGTGATCAGTTTGGTATTGGAGGTTGGTTGTGATGGTTGACCAAGCTGAATGCTGGAATCTTATTATTGATGGTGGTGTTGATAATGGTGCCGACGGAATTGTAGAAATTTGGATTATTCAAGATGTTATTCATGAGTTGCAAGCCTTTAATCTAAATCAATGGCATGATAGATACTGTGTTAAGGCACTTGAGGCTGGACATGGTAGCGCTTCAAGTAAACTTTCTTTGGTAGATTTTTAACTTGCACATCTTCCTCTGTGGATCTAGCAAAGAACAAGTGCCAGTTTTCGCCTTTTTTTGTTCTGTCGAAATACTTCTGGAGGAGTCTGGAATGATTTCTCCGAGAGCCCAGAGTGCCATCATGACGAGCTCAAGTAGTGATTTACAGCCACACTAATTATCACCACCAGTATCACCTTGATCACTCTCATGTGCTTCTCGTTTCTCATCCACTTAAGCTTTGGCTCAGAAGCCCCAGCTTCTCCCCTTCTATTTGTCAAGAACCAATGGTGCAAGAACGAAAGCTTGGAATAGATGGGGAGATAACTCTAGGTACCTTTTCTTTCTCGTTCTTCCTCACATATCCTTCGCCTCAGAGCGTTTAGCAGCGAGCCAAAGTATAGTGAAAGAACCGTGCACGTCAGGTGATCACATTGTAAATCCGCTGTGGCCAGTTGCGTCAATGAAACTTCACTATATATTTGCATTGGACATTGTCTCTGTAAGAGGAGAGCAAAGACAAAAGCCAGACTGGAAAAAAAAAACAATCGACTACCTGAATAACAGCTAAAATGTGCGAGTGACTGTATCACTTTGGAATTGTTTGAACACACAGCACAGTTGAATGTGATGTGAAGAATGGTTGAATGGGATGTGAAGAATCCCTGCATGAATGTAATAGCATCATCAAGATCTCTTCCAAACAACCAGCAATATCACAAACCTTGCCATATTGGATCTTCAGAGTTACGGCCTAGGTTGCAATAGAAACTCGCAAGCAATCTCCACAGCAGCAGGAGCTTTGCGATCTTCTACTGATGTGAATCTCATCAGTCTAACCACGGACCAAAACTCCACGGCCATCCAACAAAACCTGTAGCGTGTGGCCATACAAATGATCATACCATGGTATCATCTGGAGGATCATAATGTCGACGTACTCGACTGCCTCAATACCTGGAGAGTAACAGTCCCAAGCAGAACCATTATTAAACGAAATGACGATGGATCCCCTTAAGTTAAACCTTTTATTTGTAATATTTGACACACAAGTGGATCTCATAACGCTCATTGGTGAAATATAACTCTACTCCCAATATCAAATTATGCATTTTCATAGGCAATCCATTTAATAATTGTTTTTAGATTATAATTAATTTAAAAGTTAGAGGATTAGCACTTTAAAAAAAAAGGCAGAAAATTTTAGGAATTTGGCACAATCCTTGATATGGAATCACTAACAACACCTGGTTTTTGTAATACAAACATAGAAATGTACAACAAATGCAATAAAGATTTTATATGTGCTACAATGACACAAGATATAATTCTTCTCTTTTCCTTTGAGACCATTGCTATTAAGTTCTTTCTCAAATAAGCAAGAACAACAACATACTTAAAATTTTCAAAATTTCTCCTTCTGTTAGTTATTTTGATTTTAGTGCTGCCATAGATGGATGTACTAGTTATTAATTTACAAGGATTAAGTTAAAGGCTAAGGGAGTCTTTGAAAATGTGCAAAGACTTGCAATCTTAAAGTAGTGGCATAAATTCAATTATAAGGAATCCTAATGAAACTCCTGCAAATTATACTTTTTGTACCAACCAACAAAGAATAATACATAATAAGCAAATGTATCTACCACTTTGTTAATAAAGATCAAATGGAACTAGGCAACCAGGAAAAGTGATTCCATATCAAGGATTGTACCAAATTCCTAAAATTTTCTGCCTTTGTTTTTAAAGTACTAATTCTTTGTTCTAAAATTTTAAATTAATTAAAATATATAAAAAATTATTAAATGGATTGCCTATGAAAATGCATAATTTGAAATTGGGACACCAATGAGCGTGATGAGATCCAAATTACAATATCCTTTGTGTATAGAAAATTACAAATAAAAGGTTTAACTTTGCTAGTTTAAACTAGCAAGGACCTGAGCTCTACTAAAAAAATTAGAATTGCAAAAGTTTTATATGATATTAATACTATTGAAAGTTAAATAGTAAATAGAAACTGTAAGTAAGTTTTTATGAATATGGGAGGAATACATAATTGAATTTTATCATAGAAAATATCTGTAAGAGAATAAAATTCCCCAATTGTGAATATGGAGTCTATTGGTAAAAAAGTCAACTTATGCAACAGTAAAAAGCTCCTGTTATTATTACTACATGTTTTATAGTATTCATTGCAATGACAAAATTCCATAGTTCATAAGTATTAGCTATGATTAGTATTTGATTAAATTTTTTCAAAAATAGCATCTTATAAGTATTTATCATTTATACATTTTTTTTTAACAATGTAGATATCTAATATAGTTAAATTATCCTATATTTATACCCTCCAACCTTGCAAAGATTTCTTGTTAGGTGGATACTCCAAAAAAAAAATTGTGCTAGACACTTCTCCACACATCTAAAGATGTGTGTTAATCCTTGCCAGGACTCCTTAACTCTTAAGAGAAATTAAATACCAAGCTAACCAGTTACAACTTTTCAGGAAAAATACATACACCAAAGATGGGTCACAAGAAGAAGAACCAACAGCTATGAGAGCAAACGCTATGAGATTAAAAGTCATTTCAAGATTAAACACAATCTGAAAATTTCCAGCGCATAAATAAAAAATTGAGAAACATCTTGGTGGTGCAACCAAATACCTCTCTAAATCAAGAGTAGCACTAGACTATGGTGTTCCACAGCAAGAGATACTGGGGCTGTATGTCACTGGACATAACTTATATTTGCTTTCAAGTTAAGAATTTATCAACATTAAATCATTACAAAAGAATTAAAAAAAGTTTTAAATTGATATAGAATATACCTGAATATTCTAGGTATATCCTTACACCCACTATGGTTTTAATCTTAAAATATTTTCATAAACTTTAATTCTAAATTTAAGGTATTAATTTAAATTTTAAGTTTACAGGCTCAATCCAAAGGCTCTGATTATTAATATTTTTATAATTAGTATTACAAAGTAGAATTTAAACTATTTATTCTAGAATTTAATTATCAGAGACTACCATAAATTTCACCAACTTAAAACCAAAGATGATCCAACATTAAAAAATTACATATCTTATAAACATATATATAGATAAGGAATTAACATATTACTAAAGCTTTAAATAATAAATTCTTCTATAACCATTACTAGTAAATTATATAAGTTGAATAGTTGTTAATATTGAAATTATTTTGGTGCTCTTAAATTGTATATAAATTCTTATATTAATTAGTAATGAAATATAATAATAACTTTTTAAGCCCATGAAATTTAAGTAATCTTTCTCACATCATAAAAAATTAAAATAAATTCTTCTAGTCTAAATAAATTTGAATATGTAAACAAAAAAGTATATTAATGATAAAAATAAGATTTTTCTTCTAAAAACTGCTTCATTTTTCTGATCATACCCAAGTGTGAAATAAGAACAATTAATCCCCAAGTCGCACTACCGAGACAAAGCTCTTTTATATTCCTATCGAGCCCATAGAAACAATTCGACTTGCAGAATATGTGCAAGGACAGCTACCTCAAGGTGAGAAAAACGAGAAAAAAGACTACAACAAAGACCAGTATTGACATTGAAGGCGTGACCTTAAAAGTACTCTCCGTCCGCTCCGAGACCCTCAAACCTCCGCTCAAGGAAGTCGACAGAAAATACCTGAAAGAACCGCTTGCACAATTTTAAAGCTTTGAACAGAACCAAACTTTCTACCTGTTGTCCTTGGAGAACTCGACGGCGGTAATAGCAAACGAGTGCGCGGATTTGACCCGTTGGACAACCTTGAGCGTCGCGGCCTCGACAACGAGAACATCACCCTCCGAGCAGCCCCTGCTCAATCACACAGCTCACCAAGTTACTTCATCTCCGACCAAATGAATCAATCACCTACATTGCCAAGAGCTTGCCATCCGAGCTGACACTGAAGGCTGAGAAAGGATGCGTGCAAAACCTCTCCTTGCGTGTCTCTTTGGTTCTCCAGTCCTCACTCCAGTTGGTAATATGGCCTGCGCAGAGTAAGAACTACAACCGTCGAGAAAACATAGAGATTTAAACCTTTGCTTGATGCTACATGGAGTTGCGGCGTTGAACTCCTTGAGAACCAGCAGTAGCGTCCTTCCTCGGAAGGAATGACACGCAGATGATTGTCTCCATGGAGCTCCCACACGTAAGTTTTTCCACCACTTGTGGACGCAGCCAAGAGCGTTCCTTCCTCACTAACAAAGTCTGGTTATCAGCAACATCACTGAGAGCAAAACACGCCACCATACCTGAATTCGAGAGACTTAAACTCTGCCGATCCAATCTCACACTGCTCGTCCACGAGAAGCTCCAACGAAGGCCATTTGTATACACGCAAGTGTCCATTCTAGTATAGAGAAAAGCACAAAGTGTTTGAGGTAGAAGTAGTAGCAAGCAAAAGAGGAAAACCAAACCATTCCCGCGGTTGCAAACATGGTGCCGTCCATGCTGAAGGCCATGGCAGTCTGCTCCTTCGCTATGACGATTTCGCGATGGGCGCTCTCTATACTCAAGTCCTCAGCCAAGCGAAAGAATTCCAGTTTCCCGTCGTGCCTAAACGAGTGTAAGTAGAAGAAAAAGGGAGGAAGAAAAAAACTGGAGCTTACCACTCATTGGCGATGAAGGAGCAAACAAAGTCCGTTCCATTGGGGTGGATCGCCAGATGATAAGGAGCGTCGAGGCCTGTGCTCCGTGTATACAGCTACAACCACATCGATCGATCGATTCAAAGCTCTACAATCTCCGCTAGGAATTTACCTGTTCCATCGCGGAGCCGGTCCATCGCGCGAGGATGAGCATGTTGCCACGCCCGCTGCGCGTTGCCCCGCCTCCACCGCCACACACGACATAGCCATCCTTCGCCCACGCAGCACAAAACACGGGAACGCTCAAGGTGCTTCTCGCCATTGCAAAAAGGAATTAGGGCTTTTGCGCCTATTATATGCGCGTTGAGATCCAACGGTGGTGATTGAGAACGAGGAAAGTGGCGGGAAAGGCATGTCGTAATGGAACAGGTCCGATCGATCTGGTAGCTTTTCAAGGTTTTGCTGCAATGGATGCGATTAAATAGAGCCACATCAAGTTCACACGCCCGGTATCAGAACCGTCGATCTCAAATCGTGACGTTAGTTGAGGAAGCTCATCTGAAAATGGGATATTGAAATTATAGAGCCTATCTTTATCTGTAATAATATTTGAAGCTACATTGATGTAGATTCTTTCATTATCAAGATCTCAAACTACATATTTATAATACTTCTCTGATTATTTCTAAATTTGAGAGAATACATGGCTGATAATAATATTCTTGAGAATACACTGATCTTGAAAGTGTTTTCACGAACAAAATCATTGAAATGGAGAGCAGCAATCCAAAGAAAACGTTGATTTAGAGATTGTTCCAGTGGCATTAAAATTCATTTCTTACTAATATGTTTAAATAAATAATATTCTCACAGATTAATAATTTAATATGCAACCTACCAAAAAATCCAGGAGTCTCGTTCCCCTGTCGTAGAGGACTTTTCATTGTAGTTTTTCTTACGTCGCATGTTTTTGGTTTGCTTAATTACGGGATTTTGAGCAGCTCGAAAACAGGAGAGAGGGACGCACAATGACAGTTCTACTCTGAATCGATCGTTAATAAGCACAATGTTCCACCTTCCAATTCTCGGCTGCTCAGACACATCCTTGCCCACAAGCAAAACTAATCTCCGAGCTTGGAAACAGGCGCAATGGCCTCTTCTCGCTATGGCTACATGCCGAGTCTTTCTTCTCGGCCTCGTCAATGTTGTGAAGAACGCTGGAAGATCCAGATCCTTGAGCTTGGTCACCATCTCTCGGACCTTTGCTAGGATCTCCCGGCTCTGGGGGTGGCGGCCAGCGTCTCCAGCCACGAAGCTATGCACGAGGCCGGAGTTATCATCCGACCACCATCTTCCATGCTCGGGCCTCGCCTCTCATCATCTCCACCTCGTTTTGCTCCTCCCACATCTCCAAGCTCGCGTAGATGTTCGCCATGAGAGTGTAGTGCGAGGCGTTTCTCCTGTCCAGCAGCATCAATGCGTTGAAAGCTCGTCTCCCGATCGCAGCGTTCTTCCACTTCCGGCTGGCCGCCAAGACTGTTCTCCAGGCCAGCACGTTGGCCTCGAAAGGCATCGTCTCCGTCACTCTCACTGCCGCCTCGAGCTCGCCTCCACGACCAAGTATGTCGATCAGGCAAATGTAGTGCTCCATCGCTGGAGCAACGCCGAATCTCGACTGCATGGACGCTAAGTAGCTCTTCCCCCGATCGGTGAGACCTGCGTGGCTGCAAGCCGTGAGGATGGAGACGAAGGTGACGCCGTCGGGACGCAAGCCATCGTCGTGGATCATCCTCCAGACGCTCTGGAACACGCTATCAGTGTCACCTTGGCGGCTGTATCCGGCGATGAGAGCGCTCCAGGTGACGAGCGTCCTGGCGGGGAGTGCGTCGAAGAGCTGCTCGGCCTCGACGATGCTGCCGCATTTGCAGTAGAGATCCACCAAGCAGTTTGCAAGGAGCTCCTGGCACTCGAGGCCACACTGAGAGGCGAGACCGTGGAGCTTCTTCCCGGACTTTAGCGAGCCGGAGCTTCCACAGGCCCTGAGCAGCGCGGAGAAGAACGGAGGATCGAGCAGAAGGAGCGTTTGATCCGAGGAGTGGATCATCCTGCCGAAGAATATCTCGAGTGCAACGTCCGCCTCGCCACTCTCAGCGTAGCCTTGCATGAGAGCCGTCCACGAGACCACGTCTGGAGGCTGCTTCATGCTCTCAAACGCTCGTCTGGCGTCCTCCATGCTTCCACACTTGGAGTACATGTCCACGAGCGAGCTGGCGACGAAGCTATCGTTGCAAAACCCAGCCTTGATCGCTCCAGCGTGAATTCTCATCCCCTTCTCCAGGTGGTCGATCTTCACAAGCTTCCCACCGATGTGATCTGTGGCCTCGTCTTTCGTGGCAAGAAGGCTGCAAGCTTTGAGAGCCGCCATGAAAACTCTCCCATCTGGGGAGCAGTGGCTTTCCTCGTCGCCGTCTTGGATCATCCGGAAGAAGAGATCCATCGCTAGCTTTGCGTCGCCACACTCGACGTAGCCGAGCAGCAGGGAAGTCCACGAAACCACGTCTCGAGCGGCCATCCTATCGAAAACCATCCGAGCGTCCAAGGAGCTGCCACACTTCGTATAGATGTCCACGAGAGCGTTGGTGATGAAAGCGTTGGAGTAGCAGCAGCGAAGCGTGGACACTGCCCGAGAGTGGATCTCCATCGCCGTGCTAAGCGCCCGGACCTTGACGAGCTTGCCATGGATTCCTTCCGGAGCTTCCCTCGCTGCCAAGCTCGAGCAGGCCTTGAGAGCCGCCACGAAAGCTCTCGAGTCCGGCGATGGTGTTGCGGAGCTCTCATCCTCCTCACTTCCATCGTCTTTTCTCATCCGGTGGAAGAGCTCCAGCGCGATCTCTCCCCGCCCAGCCTCGGCGTAGCCCAGCATGAGATTGACGAAGGAGGCGGCGTCGCGGCGGGGCATGGCGTCGAAAACCCTGTGAGCGTCGACGAGGCTGCCGCATTTGGCATACATGTAGATGAGAGCTCCGCCCACGCGAGTGGTGGAGCTGAAGAGCGCGCTGGCGATGGCGTCGCTGTGGAGCCTCTTGCCCCGCTCCAAATCCCTCGACGCCGCGCAAGCCTTGAGCGCCGTGAGGAGCTCGCGAGCCGCGGGCCTGTAGCTGGCGATGGCATCGCTGTGGAAATCTCTCGCGAGTGAGCGCTCGGCGCGAGGGAATGCGGCAGAGAACTCAACTCCCAATCGTTTGGCCCAAAAATCATAACCTAAGAGAAAGTCGAATCTTTAAACGTCCAAGAGCATATTCGTATAGACATCGTAGAATATCCTTATATTCCACGAATAACGAATATCCATATTTAGTGCCGGTCCGTCAAACTTTGACGATGACTTGAAGTCCTTATCGAACAAGGCTAGAAAATGCGCTGCCAATAGAGCCCTGGTACATCTCTGGACCCGTTCAGAGGCTTTGGTCGAGGCTCCAAAGTCCTCAGAATTCCCACTGGTACATAAAATTTCTTGCAAGGCTCTTTTGATTGTTTGTTTTTTCCCATGTTGCAAATCTCCAGACTAGAGCATTCTCAAAGCACCTGGCAGAGAAAGTTTGCAGGATTTCTCTCATCGGTCGAGGCTGGTGACGAGTATCTGCTGGAATCTATACTTTTGACAATGTAGAAAAACAGTGGTAAGTCAAGTCTTATGTTTGCTAGGAAGAAAGCTTAATTGGTGTTACTACAAGATCCCTGGCTACTGCAAAGAAGATTTCTATGGAGAGGAAGGTTGTTGTTGGCTACATTAGTGTCGAAGTACCTAGTTCATGATTTTAAATGGAAGTAACAGTTCCTTTGACAAACTTGGGCCAAAGGAAGAAGAAATTAAACACACTTAACATTTTCCCAGTGTTTTTTACTACTCCTTAAGATCTAAGTGTTTCAAGTTGTAGAAGGACAAATCTTTCCAAGGATCTCCTCCAAATCATTTTAACGAATTGCTGGAAAGAGTAGTCATTACAAATTTGAGCTCACAAGCTCAAAAGTCAGCAAAAGTCCATATACGGTGGCGCTAGCGAGTGAAGAGATCAAGATCATCAAGAGAGTGCTGCCACGATCCATGGCTGGAATTGGAGATGCAAAACACCGGTGGTAAATTGGTTTAAAAGCTCTAGAAAAAGTTGACCTCGTGCATGCGGAGTTAGACTTTTCAAGATCGAACTCAACCATGACTTTGAGACTTAAGATAGAATCTTGCAAGCACAGGTGTTCTTATGTTTCCATTCGAGGAATCTTGGACAGGCTGCATGTGACTCCTTGGCATCTACACTCTTAAAGGATGAGGTTGTGGTTCTTTTGCAGTTTCGATCCAATCTGAAGAGCAATATAACCTGAATTTTAAACACCATCCAATGTAGATATACCCGTATATTTACTGCATAAAAAATCAAGCTAGAATTTTTTTACTGAAGGTTGTAAAAGGCAGGAAGGCACTACATAGAAACCATGTGGGCATAATTACATACCACATTGTCTCTACCACTTCCACTCATGATTAACGCCTGATCCAAGCTTGAATCTAAGCCTATATCATGTCTAGTTAGTCTAAATGAAGAGTTGATGAGAAAAATATACAAAAAATTCATCAATTAAGTACCCAAAATGTTATTCTTGGTTTTGGCCTTACTTGCACACACTCTTCCTCATTGCTATGGCTTCAATCTTGCCACTAACATGTGGTTTTAGTGATGAACTACTAGGCTCCCACTTCTGGTACTACTAGGCACTTGATTCTCCATAAACACTCTAACTTTAGGATTGAAGTGGTTAATATTGAAATAAGATCGCTTTCAGAATCTGATTTCTAATACTTATGTGAATAATTCATGCAAAATCTGATATTTCTTCTGCCAACCCGCCCACCATTAGTGTCACAAGGTAATCTTAATTATCATTTCCATGAAACTTCAAAACTATGAGCACAAAGTTAATATTTCTTTCATTAAGAGTTTTAGTTAAATGGCTTGATCACGACTCTAAGTATTAGATAAAGTATTGTAATCAAGAGGCTCATCCTCCCATTTGTCACTAGCCTTCTAGCCAACAAGTGCTATACTCCTTTCAACTTCAATCATCATAAGATTGCCAAGATTGCCTATAATTAAAGAGTCAATTGCTTTGATACTATGAAAATATTGGAGAGATGCATATAAAGAGGAAAAACTATGTATCTCAATTGTATATGGATGGGTATATAATGACCATATGGGCCTCTAAAAATCATTATGGAAATCTTTTATGAATGAGCATTTGATGCAAAAAAAAGTTTTAGTGCAAAAAATCATAACTTAAGAGAAAAGTAAATCTTTAATGTCCCATTAACATATTTGTATAGGCACATATTTATTCTCCACAAATAAAGAATATCTAAATTTCAAGTGGGCTTTATTCTTACTTTGCTATCAGCTGCCACAACTCTTCTCTCCTCCCACTTGGCACAATAATGAGAAAATTGTTATATCATTCATTAAAATGAAATTCATAGCAATAGTGTTATAAAATCATAATGTAAAGCTTGATAAGTGGGATATAAACCAAAATTGCATGATTCCAGTGTTTAGAGGCTACATTTTTCAAGTTTTTAGTATACATTGTTTTATTCTTGTAATGGTTGAACTTGGAATGCCTCTCATAAGCCTAGTAAACACATTTTTGCTAATAAAGGAAATATACTTGCAAAAGTTATTTTTAACAAATATGTAGAAGAATTTGGCCTCTTAGACATTGTGGAATGTAAATAAAAAATTCTTCTAATTTATAGTTTTTATTGGTTATTAAGCCAATGCTCTAACACCATTTTCTTTGTAGAGAAAATTGTGGATAGAATTTGCAAAAAGTTTATGTTAGCTAAATATAAGAAATAGTGGGATAGAAGGAATCTAGAAAAGTAGTTTAACAAGAAACCTTTCTAAGTTGCAATGGCAATTGTGAAGGATTATGATTTAGAGCAATTTTTGTGGATGTAATGCTAGTAAAACTTTTTATAGCTTTATTTTTTCTAAATTTTCTTATAGAAAAGCTTATTGCATATTCAAAGCATTTATTTACATATTAAAATCTTTTATGCTTGACTAAAACTCTTTTAATGATTGTGGCTAGGAAGAATCTAAGCATTCTCCACAAATATAAGTGTTCCATTTTGGATTGTACTTTCGAAATAAAAATAATTTTCTTATTCTTGTATGATTTAATGGCCCCCTTTGTCA